AACAAATACTACCATCGCATAAATCAGCAGAATCATTTTGTGTGAGCGCGCAGAGTCTCACGACATAGTTCAAGCTCCTAGTGATCCTCCTGCTTTCAGCCTCCCCAGCACTGGGATTACAAATGTGTGCCACCACACCTGGACTCAGTCGCCAGTTCAGCGCATCTGGGGCAGGGCCGGCATGGCATGTGGTGACAAGGATCAAACACCGGTCCCTGCGCTTGCCTAAGCAGCATTTTTTTTTAAGCATGGAATAAATCCGAAATAAAACAAAACACTACAACACACTAGGCCCTAAATATTTTTCTCTTGTGTACTAGATTTGACACTCAATTATAGAGTGAATAACCCAGCACTAAGCTTGTAATATTCTGTCAAAGTTAAAACCAAATACCATGCTTATTTGTGGGTAGAGGAGAACCATAGATGCCAAGAATCTGCTGTGATGGGGTTATTACTGCAACTGGAATAAGCGTGGGAGTCTGGCAAACTCTTTCCTTCACTTTTCTTTTTCTTGGGTGTGTATCGATTTGGTAGGGGGTCTCGCTCTGCCTCTCAGACCTGCAGTGCTGGACTCCTTCCTCAGCCTCCCAGCACTGGAGTTACAGTCATGTGCCACTACGTCCAGTTTCAGTGGCCAGCCTGGTACACCCAGGGTACCAGGGCCAGCACAGTGTGTGGCACTGGGGATGAAGCTTCAGTCCTTGTGCTTGCCAGGCAGGCACTTGGGCTGCTGAGCTATCTCCTCAGCCCTGGCAAACTCTTGTGGGCAGAGAGACACTTGCCATAGGTGAGCCCTGGAAAAGCAAAGACACCAGGGAGCTCTTTGCCGTTGCATCTGTTCTCTGATCTGCCATCTGTGCCGGAGAAGAACCAGGCTTGGGGGCAGCAGCGCCAGTTCTGCACACTGCCTGTGGCCAGGGCAACAGCTTAGCTGCTTCTAAGTAAGAGAATTTGGAAGAATGTGTAAAAGTGTGTGTTTTTCCTCAGAGCTAATTTAAGATTATTGGCCCCAAAATGTCCAATTGATTTTCACTTCACTCCCAAAGAAATATTAATTATTCATCATGTGAGGAGAAACAATAGGCTAGTAAACAAGTATAGTTATGAGACCACAGGCCAAGATAGGATGGTTTCTTAAAAACTGAAATAACTAGAATATTTCTAGGGAAAAGTCTTAAAATTGCTACGCTAGTACCAATGTAGATTTAGAAAACACAAAATAACATATATTAATGAAAGGAATTAGCAAGCGTGACAAAAATATTAACTTCTTTGAGGTACGATCTCACAGTGTTGTTCAGGCTGGCCTTAAATTCTTGGTCCTCCTACCTCAGCCTCCCCTCGAAGCTGGGATTACAGGCATGTGCCACCATACCTATTTTGTATATATTACCTATAGATTACTAGGAGTATGTACTAAAAATGAGTACCCAGTTAGCACATGTGTGTTGATACACTTTTTTTTTTCCTTAGGGAAGGGTCTACAGGGTGTTCAGGGTCTCACTACTAGATCAGACTCATAGTGATTCTCCTAATTACAGCCTCCCAAGAGCTGGGATTACAGGCATGTACCACCACACCCAGTCTCAACTGCTATTTCAGCAAGACCCAGGGGCAGGGCCGGCACAGCAGACCCGAGGATTGAACCCCTATCCCCTGCGCCTGCTTACAGGTACTTTAATCCGCTGAGCTATTTGGCCAGCTCTGTGTGTTGATACATTTATAGTGGTGTATATTTGTATATACTAGTAATATATTTAATTTTAAACAAATTGAACACATAAATAGGCAAATTAACTAACATGGCAAAGACCTCCTGTTTTGCATGTGCTCACTGTGGAACGCCATGAATGACTTTCCAGTAAAGAAGACTCATTTCCACAAGTGCTGACATGCTTTTCAGGATTTTTGTTTGACTTCTGCCAATTTGAATCCCTAGACTGGAATAACTGCAAAGCCATCTGCTCTGCAGCAGCGGCCATGCCGGTCCGAGGTGCGCTGAGCCTGACTGAGCACCCGCTTCGACATTCTCTGTGCCCATCGTGAGCATCACTCTGCAGCATCCCTAGGGTGTCTAACTTGTATCACAAATATAATTAGGTTAAGAGCTTAACAAACTTTCTACGTGCCAAGGTAATTTACCGTTTTTATCCCCCAGCCTCCAACAATATTTACTGGTGGTTTGAAGGTATGCTACTCTCAGCAATCACCTCCTTTTCTAACAAACATCTTTCGTAACACACTATTAGCATACCTTTAATAAAATACAATGTTTAGACTGACAGAACAATGAGGGAGAATTATTGTATATTGAGTTCAATTTTTCCTAGGCCTGGACTGGCATGTGAGACTATCCTGTTACTAGTTTTTCATGTTAAAAGTAAGAGGCTGAGTTCAGAATTGCCATGTGGAGGACAGGAAAAGAACCTCAGACAGAGACTATGAGGTATGCACCATTCTGCTGGAATAAAACAGAAGTGTCTTAGCTTCAGAAGACTGCATTGATCACGTGTCATTCATGTCTGAGCTATGTCAAAGCTAATGCGAGTAGACAATTGTGGAGAACACAAGGAACATGAATTATGGCTCAAGTTATCCATTTTATAGGATGTCTGAAAATAAAATAGGCTCAAAAGGAGACTACTGAAGCTAACATTTGACCAATTTATAAAATTATAAAATTACAAAATTAATAGGGAAACAAAGTATTTTGAATGATTAGAAATACAGCTTTTCCGTATAAACTGGTTAATCCTTTGAAATGCAAATCAAGTGACATGGGAATGGAAGCACACCACACACCACTGAAGATATAAACTACATACTTCAAAGCATCCTTCCTGTCTCCATTAATGAAGATGTAGAGGCTCGGCAAGAATGATGGAAGTCAGTCAAGAAGAAACTGCAGTGCTTGCCAGAGACCATGCTGGCTTAAAGATCTAAAAACCAGCAAGTTCTGATTGAAGCTAAGAGCCATGAAAAAGGCAGGAGTTTTGTAGATTTCACAAGCCAGGGATTCGCAAGCTGGGGTTAACTAAGATGGAAAATAAGCTGGTGGCAAGAAGTGACATCCACGGTCCACAAGGACAGATCAATCTAAACAATGATGGAGATTAATCCAGAACACGATGGAGATCTCAAAAGATGGAAGTACAACTATAGCTGTGGGTCTAGTGAAGGCAGTGTCTGTCATACCATTGGAAGTTAGAGACTGATGAAGAGAGAAAGTAGTGAGGAACTGAGTTACCCAGATGTCAACACAGTGTGTAAAGGAAGTGTACATGCCTAGGACCCCAGGAGAGGGATGGCAGAAAGGAAACCATATCTGATGATGGGCCAAGATCTGCAAGTTGGAAAGAGTGGCGTGGGTCTTGAGACCAAGCATTTGGGAGGGAAACTCAAAAAATAGGAGTAGAGGTATGGCTCTGAGGAGTAGGGAGTACAGGATGAGAATGATGGAAAGGAAATCTTGGAAACACAAGTCAGTAAGAGAAAGAAAAATCAGGATTCAAAAAACAGTCAGAATCCATAGCTTGGATGTCTTATTCAAAATTCATTGTTTTTCCCAGGTGAACATAACTGTTTATTACTACAAAGTAAAGGGTAGTACTCCCTTGCCTTTTGAAGTTGAAGACTATCCCAGAGGGCTAGAGGTAGAGCAGTCAGGAGGATATACATAATCAAAGTACAAATCCTCCCTTACTGCTGGCCCTTTTCCCCAGCTTGCCTGAAGTGGTGACTGTTGCAGGGTGACAGGAAGTGTCTTGAGCCCTGTGCTCCATCCACAGAGAGCCTTGGTGTGTGGCAGGAACTCTCACAGTGTGGTGCCCAGGACAGCATTAGTAGCCTTTGGAGACCGGATAATGCCGAGTCACTAGTCCCATCCCAGGTTCACCCAGTGAGAAATCCTGGCTCTGTAGCCAGCAATCTGAGTTCTATAAAGCTCTCCAGTAGGATGCTGATCATGCTGATGCTTGTTACTGGGAAATATTCATTAGAATAGATATGTAGCAGGGCCCAGAAAGATAGTTCAGCGGTCTAAAGCACCTGCTCAGGCAAGCCTAGGCAACCTCAGGGAACCGGGGTTCAATCCCTGCACCACATGCTGCACCAGGCCCACCTTCAGGATGGATTGAGGAGGCAAAAGAAAACAAACAAACAAAAGATAGGATACAGACTTCATGATGAAAAGTAAATTAAAGCATACTTCTGGCCCTAGAAAGGAGGAACTAAATCATCCAATGTTCTGTATCTAAGAGTCTATGATGAGACAATTCTGAAAACAACTATTACATTGGCAATGGGATCATACATTTAACCTCTAAAAAGACAAACATGCCAAGCTGCAAAAAGATTTGCTTTCCTGCTTTGAGGAATATCACTTTACAAGTACAATGGTTATGTTGTTCATTTGCTAATATAAAAAGGTTTCTAATGAGCATTGTTTAGAGTATTACAGTTAATAAAGAACAGCATAGGTTAAACAGGAATATTTCTGAGTTTAAAAACTGAAGGGAAGTGGTTTGCTAAGCCATAAAGTACTAAGTACACAAGCCCCATCTAGTGGCCCTTGTACCAAGAGTTCAGTGCGGTTTCCCAAGGGGTCCAAGTCACCTACAAAATCGTAGACAAACAAGAGTATTTCGGCCACAGACAAAGAGCACACAGCACACAGCATCCTGTGACTGTGGCATACCTTTTACACAAATGTTCCTCAACTTCATTAGAGTCTCCTGCCAACTTTTGACACTACTGAGCCAGCAAAGGAGGAAGCATCTATAAGGTGTGTCAAATCCTATGCTAGATGCTTTTATACATTTGTAGGTATATAGCATGTGATGTAAATACAGAAAGACATGCTTACAGACACAGATATGGAGAGATATGCAAGCAGAGGCATATCTCTGCCTCTGTACATCATTGCCATTAAATCTGGAAATGGGTGAACAAATAGTTCACTATGTGATAAAACACTATCTTCCTTGTATCCAGAATACTCCAGTTAAAAAAGAATGTTCAGAGTGGACTTCTTTCAAGGGCACCCAGTAGATTATTTCTGTGCTGAATTCTTTTATTTCATTTTTACTTGCTACATTACTGCTATATTCTGTCTTTCACATACTTCTTTAGGTCCTTACAGGATATAATCACTTTTTACACTAATATGTTTTTAAAATTCTTGTTCCCCAACATGATGCTTAATAAGTGATTATTAATTCTTCAATAAATACATGTATATAAATGTATGACTGAATATATGAGTTATTTATTTTTTAATTTATTACAATTTATAATATCATATTTCCAAGAAAAATGAACCTTTAGCACAAGAAATTTCAATAAAATCATACCAAGATACACAAAAATGAAATTGTTCAAAATTTATTGTAAAGAAAATATCATTAAAGCATATGCATAAAAAATATTAGCTATGGAAGAAGAAAATTAAATAGCACCTTATTCCACATTAGAAAGAAAAAAAGGACCATGTGTGTAAGAAACTAGACTAATTAAAGGACTGAAAGAAAAGATCTGTCCTCTTTGAATTTTATACTTAGCAAACATACCTTTGAAAACTAAAAGTAAGATTTTCTAGTTCTACAAACTTGAAATACTTCAATACCTCCAGAAGTAGCATATAGGAAATAACAAAGAGTATAATTCAAAAGGCAAGAGAAGTTGCAGTATCGTCTTGGATGAACAATAAAGAGCTCTCAATGATAGTTATTCAGGACTATATAAAAATATAGTAGATGAACCCTTATTGAAAGGTCATTGAAGATTTCTATGAAACAGCACCAATCTTATGATGGGTTATACATTATATATATGTGTGTGTGTGTGTGTGTGTGTGTGTGTGTGTGTGTATGTGTGTATAAAAGACAGGGAAGAAGTAATATAAAGTCAACAGAAAATCAAAATATACTTTTTAAAGTTTCTAATACTAGGAGAAGATATCATATGATGACTTCTAAATAAATTGTAAGTCAAAGAGATAGTATAAATCTTAGAACAAAAATTAAGATTAAGCAATATTCAGAAAATTAAATACTAATTAATTAAAAATTAAATGTTTCAAAACAATTGAACTAAGAAAAAATTTTCATGATAGCAAAGAAGTACTAAGAACAAAACATAAGATAAATACTGGAATGGCAAATAAATGACCAGCACTTCTACCAGTTTGAGGATGGGATATCACACAAAGTTCTAGTGTGTTGTGGACATGCATAATGACCATGACAGTTACTGGTGGCTAGGCATCACTTGTGGGACTGAGCTACAGCTATTTCTTTGAAATCCACCATGTAGACTCAGGTGGAATTATGACCCATAGGATGGAAGAGAAAACCATTTGTAGAATTTGCTGATGGAAATATTTTGCTGCTGACCACAAAAGAATAACTGAAAGACTACTATTGTATATCTCTTATTCTCCTGTGTCTAATTGTTTGCCCTATTTGGTGTGTTCTTTCCATTCTCATTCATGGGGCTGTAATCAATTTGCTCCCCCTCTAGAACATCTTTTACTAGTCTGCATAGGCTTGGCTTTGTCATCATGAAATTCTTTAGTTGTTCTTTGTCATGGAAGTATTTTACTTCTCCATTATACTTGAAAGAGAGTTTTTCAGGGTATATCAATCTTGGTTGGAATTTGTTTTCTTGCAAGACTTGAAGTACTTTGCTCCATGCTCTTCTTGACTTGATGGTTTGTGAAGAGAAATCTGCTGTTATTCTGATGGGGTTGCCTTTAAATGTGATCTGTTTCTTTTCTTTAGTGGCTTTTAGTATACTGTTCCTCTGCTGAATTTCTGGGATCTTGATTATTATATGTCTGGGTGTGGTTTTCATTGGGTTAATGTTATTTGGAGTTCTATATGCTTTGGTTACCTGAATGTCAAATTCTTGCCCCATATTTGGGAAGTTTTCTGCTATTATTTCTGCCCATATTCTTTTTATATCATTTGTATTGACTCCTTCCTTCTCATTGATGCCTATTAGTCTTACATTGTTCATCTTTGTATCGTCTTGCAGGTATTGAATTATTTTTTCCTGCATCCTAGTTGTTTTTAA